ACACACCCCTCCAGGGGGAAGAACAGCAGAAACCATGGGGGAAGGGAGACCATGGTCTGTGTAAGATGAAAATAAGTTATAATCTATCATGGGGTCACGAGGGTGAAGGGTAGGAAGGGAAAAAAGAGGAGCTGATACCAACGGCTCAATCAAAAGTAAATGTCTAGAACGTTGGCAGTATGTACAAATATGCTTGATACGATTGATGTATGGATTGTAATGAGTTGTAAGAGCCCCCAGTAAGATATCTTTTAATTTAAAACATTTTAGTCTCAGAATCCACAGGGGTAGTGAGTTGATGGCAGTGGGGAAGGGAAATGTAAATAGAAGCGGGAGAGCTCAAGCAATTTGTTGTTTGAAGATGGGCGTGTCAGCATTCAGACTGAGAATCAGAAAAGCTACAAGTCCTATCCCCAGGAAACTGCACACAGCTCCTGAGCATTGCTTCTCAATTCACCTGCTGGGTCTGTCGGAAGAAAGGCCTGGCGAGGAGCTTTCACAGACAGAGCAGCTCTGTTGGAGCAGCTGCGTTTGATAGCAGTTGCCATGAGTCACAACTGGCTCAGCAGCCGTGAGCTGGGGTTTGGTTTGCTTCTATCTCCTTCCCCATAGCTCATCTATTCACACAACTTAAAACACCAAGGCTTGGACCTTGAACATGGCATGTTTGCAGAGCCAGGGCTGTGCATCTAGAACCAAGTGAGCAAGGAGAGTAGGCAGAGATGAGGTAAGACGCAGATACCAAAGGTTATGCGCTTTCTGGAGAGAAAACTTGCCTTCCCTCAGAAGGAAGCCAAGGAGTAAAGAAAGTGATGTCCAAAGAGTAGTTTAAGTCCAGGCCTCAATAGAGAGGGCTGAGCTGGAGGGCATGTTTAGAGGGCACTTGGCCATGTAGATGAGTGTGAGACTGCCCAGGGAGGCAGTGCAGAAGAACAAGGCCAAGGAGACAGGGGTGGAATAAAACTTGGTTTGACCCTTTTGCTCTGCTTCCTGACTGAGGAGTTCAGGCTCTTTGTTTTCCCAATGAGCCAGGTAGTCAGGGCCTCATAGGCCCAAACCTGGTGAGTTCTAGGAACTCATGCATATTCATTGATTAGACAGGTTATAGCTAAGGTCCCCCAAACCAAGCCCACTGCCACTGAGTCAATTCTAACTCCGTGACCCTGTAAGATGATAGAAGTGGCCCACAAGGTTTCCAAGACTGTACATCTCTCTGAAAGGGGACTTCCACTTGTTTCTCAGAGTAGGTGATGTGTCTGAACCGCTGTCGTTTTGGTTTGCAACCACGTGCTTTAACCACTGCACTACCAGGGCTCTGTTATTAAAGTCCAAGTTATACACATTTGTTGAGATCTCAGTGACTAAGAGACCGGCACCTTGGAGCACTTGAGGGAATGTCCATGCATGGAAAGGGAGAGGCATGGCTCTGGGGACAGTGAAGGCCCTGTGCCAGGAACTCGCACATCCCTCTCCTGAATTGTTGCTGTGGCGATCCTTTCCTTCTTTTTTTTTAATCATTTTATAGGACTTGTACAGCTTTTATCACAATCCATCCATCCATCCATTGTGTCAAGCACATTTGTACATTTGTTGCCATCAGCTTTTTCAAAACATTTTCTTTCTACTTGAGCCCTTGTTATCAGCTTTTCATTTTTCCCCTCCCTCACGAACCCTTACTAATTTATGAATGATTATTATTTTTCACGTCTTACACTGACCGATGTTTCCCTTCACCCACTTTTCTGTTGTCCGTTTGTAGATCATTGTGATCGGTTCCCCCTTTCTCCCTCCACCTTCCCCTTACCCTTCTGGTATGGCTACTCTCAATATTGGTCCTGAGGAGTTTATCTGTCCATAATTCCCTGTGTTTCCAGCTCTTATCTGTATGCATGTACATGCTCTGG